AACAGGATCTACCTTGGTAAAAATTGTGATAGCACTAAATACATTTCTGGTACCCTGTGCTAGCTGGCATATATTAGGTGACATCCATGGGTCATTTAATTTAGCACTCAGCTTAGTCATCAAGAATAAACATCTTAGAAATAAAATAAAGATCAGGAAATGTTACAGCTGATTGCAAATAGTGAGAGTAAACAACATTTTTAGCTCCTGTATGTGTTTGTATACTAGATCACATGCTAAAATGTATGTTTTATGGTCAAAAGTGTGAAAATCCCTGTTAGCCTGCATCCTCCCCCATGACCAAGGCTCATCACTCCCTAATGCATCTTTCAAAATGTCTTAACTTATTTGTTGTATTCTCTGATAAACACCAGTGACACTGACATGAATAAATTTCTCTACCCTCAAGGAACTCATACCCTAACAAAGTGTACAAAGAAAGAAATGACTTCATGCATGACCTTTATTAGCAGAAGGTCAAAATGTGATCAGAGCAGAGAACACACACATAACTCTGCTTACAGGAACTGGCACATTTTTATAGAGAGTGGATCTCATGTTCAGTTGGAAAGAATGAGAAATAAGTTTGGAGGCCAAATGTGTAGTAAGAGAGCACTCACCTCGAACAAAGCAACCCTGAGTGAAGTGTGCAGGTGTGGAGTCGGGTGGCACCTACATGGAATGGCAGGTAACTTATGTGCTAAAATTATTAGAGGGGATGGAAGCCCAGGGCCCAACACAGTGTAAGCTATGAAGAAGTAAAGAGTCTTTTGGGCCAGATAGTCATTTATGCTGAGGAGCATATTCTAATTCAGAAGCAATAGAAAGGAGGATTTTAAAGAACAAGATAGCAGAATCAAGGCTTTGTTTGAAAAGGAGAGCCAAAAAAGTGCAAAGAACAGATTGGAGTTTGGTCAGATTGATCACAGAGAGACAAATCAGGTCATTTCAAAACAAGCTTGAAAATGAAATGCACTAGAATAGAGCTAGGAATGGAAGAAATAAATATTTAAGAGCAATTTGAGTACGGGAAATAGCATGACATGGTGAATTAAGAGAAAAAGAAGGAAAAACAAACTAGCTTCAAACTTTTTGGCTTGGTTAATGAGTCTGCAGTAGAAACCAGCAGCCAATGATAAGTAGAAAAAATAATGCATTCAGTTTGGGGTATGCTGATTTTGAGAAAGCTAAAAATTAAGGGCAGAATCCAGAAGATTAGATGTTGAATTCCTAAGAAAAATCAGGTTTAGACATTTGGTAGATTCCAAATGTTCATAAATTACTTTGCAGCTGTTCCATTAGGAGGTGGAAACTATTTTCCCAACCTTTGAGTACAGGATGGCCTAGGATTGATTCTGTGCCTTTTAGCTTTCCCTCATGCCTTATTAGAGCACCATCCTTATGTGTAGAAGCCAAGACTAGCCTGTTGGAGACACATGGTAACCAGCACTGACCACCAGACATTGAAGGAAAACCATTTTAGAGAACTCAGCTTCAGCTGAGGTGATACATGTCTATAGACAGATGAAGAATGCCTGAGGAGGACATGGTGAGGTACATCTGTAATACCAGTACTCAGGAGACCAAAGCAGAATGATCACTTAGTTCAAGGCCAGCCTGGGGCTACATAGAAAGACCTTGTCTACATAGCAAAACAAAAACAGGGTGGGCTTAGTGGTGCAAGCCTGTAAACCCAGCTACTCACTCAGAAGGTAGTGGTAGGAGGATCACCATCTGAGGTCAACCCAAGTAATGTTAGTATGAAATCCTATTTGAAAAACAATGTGAGAGTAAAAGGCAAAAGGACTGGGGGTGGGGCTGAAGAACTAGAGCACTGGCATAGCAAGCACAAGGTCCTGAGTTCAATCCTCAGTTAAAAAAAAAAAAAAAGCTCAATTGAATCCATTCCAAATTGCTGACATGACAAATGAAGACTGCTGACAAATGAAAAACCTGTGACTTTAAAGTCTTGAGGTGTGCAATGGTTTGCTTCACAACAGCACAGCAGATAATGGAAATGGTTATGGGTCTCCCTTTATTTCCAGTAACTTGCTGATTATTGATTATACTTCTAATTTGGTCTTAAGTTCTGTCCTATCATTGGAAATCTTTTTTATAAAGGGACGCCATGTCGGCTTGCCAACTATAGGGCCAATTCCCTTCAGACAGAAATTATCTGTTTGTCTCCTCAGCAATGCTCCAAGTGGAAAACATGTTTTATTAATATTGATCACCTAGAAAAGTAACACGTGCAGTAAATAATCACTGTAGTACATTATGTAGAGCAAATAAAGACTTAAATCTAAGTCAGGTGCAATGACTCATGCCTGTAATCCCAGCTACTTGGGACGCAAAGATCAGGAGGACCTCAATTTGAGAACAACCCCAGCGGCAAAAGTTAGTGAAACCTGATCTCAACAAATCAGCTAGGTGTGGTGGTGTGCACCTGTGATTCCCGCTACACAGAAAGTATAAATAAGATGATCGCAGTCCAGGTGGGCTCCAGCAAAATCCAAGATCCTATTTGAAAAAAACCTCAAGTATAACAGCCTAGGGTCCTGGCTCAAGTGGTAGTGTGTCTGCCAAGCAAGCACAATGCCTTGAGTTCAAACCTCAGTACCACGAAAAGTAGATAAATTAAATTTAATTAAAATATTGCCTTGGGAGAAAAATATTTTAAAGCATAGGTTGCATTAAATAATATAGTATGATTATATTTTCTCACGTAAAACCAGTTTGAACATCAAGAACAGAGAACAATAGAAATTAGAGCTTTCAATTTTGAAAATGAGAATTTTCCTTTTCATTCCCTGGTAAATATTTGTTGTTCTTTTCCTTTTCCTCATAGCTTCTTTCTTTTAACATTTTCTGTTTGGTCTGTGTGTCTTTTGCTCCACTTAAACTTCCCTTCTTACTCTTTTAAAGACATAGCCAGCATGTACTGTTTTAATGTTTACTGTAAAAGTACAAAGCCCATGCCTCTTAATTAGTCTTGGAGCATATTCAAAATAAAGACGGGATGGAAAGAAAGCTCTTCCTTCCAAGGAAAGCAGTATCCCCAACTACATCAGGTCTCCTAGAGCACTTTCGTTCCACATTTTAGATGTGGTTTCCCATGTATTCTGTAACAGAGAAAAATGGAGCTCCTGTATCATGGTTTCTTGGAAGTGTGTGTAAGTTAGATAAAGCATTTGAATCCTTTTAGGAACCTGACTCAGAAAATTTATCAAGATGACACATGCTCTTATGTTTCTTATGTTCTTTCAATGGCTTAAATATAATTTATACACAGAAAATTATAATTGGCTTTCCCAAGAAATACTTAAATGTCATCAAGTTAGCACCTAAAACATTGGTTAAACAAACACACGCAAAGGACTGAGGATGATTTAAGAATATTAATGTCAACAAATGTTGGCTATCTGTAGTTTGTGTCTTCCAAGAAAATACTTTGGATACATTGAAATTCTGGCTCCATTATGTTAGGAAACATAAAATCTTATGTGTGAAAGGAAATGATACTTCTGTTTTTTAGAAAAATGCATCTTAGAATTGCTTCATTTTTCTAGTTGCTTGAAAATACAATTCTTTATGTGAAGTCTTCTGCAGAATTTGGAAGATGTTATCATGGCTATATAGAGACTTAACAATAAGTAAAGGCAGTGAAGAAATTCTGAGGCAGATATTTGCCAGCCTGACTCCTTCCTTCAGTTCATCAATGAAAGCAACTGTTAGTGCCTATACCTCAATTTTCTATATGTAAGTGGAGACAGCCTCAAACACTTATCTCCAGCCCTTATGTGTCAGTCATCCCGATCCTTATATTACTAGCAAAGTGCTCCAACCTGTCTTTTGACTCAATCATAAGTGAAATTGACTAAGTACCTGTCACTTCAGCAAAAATTGCCAAGATTGTATTGTTATTTGGGGATCATAAAAGTAGAATACTGTCCTGGTAAGGTCACGTTCTACCCACCATGGCTGAACATATGGATGGCTTGGTTACAGCATCAGCAGAGAGAAAGAGTTAATGTGAATGAGTCAACCTTGCCAACTTCTGATCTTGCCTAAATATTTATTTATTGTAAAGCTCCCTCAGTCTCACCCACACCAGGTCATTGCTCCTTCCTACAGGATTGAAGACTGGGCTCTATAGTTCTTCTTTTTTATTTGTGCATTTTAATTTTAATCATTTACCTTGTGCATTCCAAGTTTACACACCTTTATAAATTTTATCTCCCTGTTTCTCTCCCACACTTCCTTTTAAAAATAATGACCATTTTTAGAAAGAAATTAAAGACAATACATAGTTTGAAGACTGAGCCCAGAAGTCTCTACTGGGAGATTACTCTCACCCATGGTCTCCTTTGTTGACATGTTCAATTAATTCTGGCTGAACAAGGCATGCATCCTGGGAACATTTCCATTGCTGTCCGGAGCATGTACTGCAAAGAAACAAACATCACAAGAGTGGCATGGCCTTTACAGAGTACATTTCAAAATTAGTAACAGGAGTTATGCATTGTTAAGACATAAAACATCATTTCTTGATTAACGTAAGCCATATCTGATTCTTGGAGAAAATAATTATAAAACATGCATTAGCTACTACTCAATGTACTCTTATCCTCTGCTTCAGGCAATTCATAAATTACATGACCCCATTGTCACTGAAGTTTAGAAAACAGGACAATTTGGAGAGCAGATTCAATGTTCTTGTATTTGGAAACTTTCTGTAGGCTAATCCTTTTTCAGCAGCAGTTTTTATGTACAGTTACTGCCTCTAGTCTACCTAAATGTTTACAACAAGGACGTGTGCAGCCCTGATACATGGTGAGGGCTCATTATCAAAAACGTCAGACTTAAGCACTAAAAGGTATATGCATGATTATATTTTCAGCATTTATATGATGTCTATATGTGTTTAAATACATGCTTTTTTTCACAAATGTTCCTTTTATCTGAAGAAAGCATACACAGACAATAGAAGTAATTTCTGTCACTTAAATTCATTACCAGGAGTTGCAGTTTTCTGTAATCACTGATCCTTTTTCATAGTGCTGGCCATCTCTGAAGCAACCTGTCAACAGGACATGAAAATTCTCACCTGAGTAAACCACATTCGTGATGAGTAATCTAAAACTCTAGTTAGTTTCCCTACATGCAGAATTGTTTGTTGTCAATCTGATAGAAATCTACATCGGGTTTGTGTCAAGGTTTATAAATCAAATTCTTCTGGGTTCAGTCCATAAGCTTTTATCTTTAAACTGCATATTGTATTCCAACAGAGAGGATTTATAAAACATGAAAACTAGATTACCACAGGAATAATTACTAACTATGCTGAAAAAGTAAAAATGTGTTTAGATAGGTAAATAATATAAGAGTATTTGAAATCAATTCATGGCATTTATTTTAAAAAGTTAATAAGGTCTCACAAATTATTTTAATTAATTATAGATGACTATAAATGAAAAGCCATTTCATTGAATTTACCTTAGAAAGATAAATCCTAATTTTTTCTTTTTTTCTATCTTTTTCTTCAATCATTTATTCATTGTTCTTTTTTTTATGGTACTGGAGAGTGAACTCAGGACCTCATGTTTGCTAAGCAAGCTCTCTACCATTTATGCCACACCTTCCATTCCATTCTAAATACTTTGTAATCAAGATTTTGATCAGGAGAAAACTATGAATCAGTGAGATTGTAGCCACGTGTCTTCAAAATCCAAATGTTTCTTAACTATTAATTGAAATTGATTGTTAACTGGCTTACAAGATTATATAAACTGCTTCAAAAGAGCCTTATGGTGAATCAAAATCACATGAAAACCACACATATGATATTGCTAAAATACAACCCATGTTACAAATGAAATCATTTTTGAAAATATAAAATGCATAAATCTAAAATTAACATTGAATTAGGAAAATAAACTCTATTTTGGTGAAACTTTTTAAACAAAAACATATACCTGATTATTACATCAATAGTCACTAATTAAATAAAATAATTTCTAACATTTTATTTGTTCATTGAATCATAGGCGGAATATGTGACTCAAAAACTCTCTGAGGGACTTGGTTTAACTACTTGCCATAATGTCAAAAAAAAAAATTCTGGCTTCAAATTCTTTGATTTTTCCAGAAAAAAAATGTTTCAAGGAAATATTTCACAACTGCCCTTCCTTGGCACTTTTGTTTTGCCATTTGATATTCTGCTTAGTCAGTTAAAATCTCTATGCATTTATCCTTTCGTGGAAGTCTGATAGTCTGCAATCACAGAGTGGAGAAGGAAACCTTCTTGCTCCTGACCATATCTTTCTCAATGCAGCAAACTGAGAGGAGGGGGGAGATTTAACTTTAAATCAAGTTCAGAGTTTGAATTACTACACAGGATAAGACATTTTAAATAATTAAGTGAACACTATGTTCATAGAAACCCTACAACTTCTAATTACCTAAGAACGACAGAAAACTTTTTACAGCAATCCAAGTTTTCACTATAAGGCAAGAGAATTACTTCCCTGACCATTTTCAAAGAGATGTTGGAGGCAAAAAGTAAAGCAGATTTTAACCATACCTTACCATTTACGTGGGTAAAGGGAACAGAAATTACAAAGTCATAAAGGAAAAAGACTGTCCTTTCTCTGAGTGGTACTCCAACTAATAATTCTGAAGTCAAGAGAAGACCATCAAACCACTAGCACTACATCTAACATTAACGAAAACTCCATTTTTTGCATAGCCTTAGTATTACTCAGAGTTAGCCATGAGAAACTGTGTTCACTTTAATCTCACTTGTGAATTTTTATTATTATGTGTTCATTATATAGGGGGATTCACAGTGACAATTCCGATTAGACTTATATTGTGCATTATTTACATTGTCCCCATCATCTCTCCCCCTTAACCTCCTCTTAAAGCAACTGCAAGAGGTTATTTAGTTCTGTTTCATGCAGGTATTTGAAGTCTATCAACCATATACTGTCACCTTAATCTCCTTCCTTCACCCTCTCCCTCCCACTAGTACACTCCTCCCGCATACACCGTGCCTATTTTATAATCCTGGTTTTCGTTATTGATATTTAAGTTGAAGTTCAAAGGGGTGTCTCAGTGCATGCCCTCTGTGGGTGTGCTTTACTTTAGTCTGTTCAATCCCTTTGAATACTCTCCCTTATCCCTTTACCTCCCTCCCCCTGTTTTTCAACAGTTTTCAATACACAATGGACTATTACTCAACCACAAGGAATAATGGGGTTTGAAGGTAAATGTATGTAATTGGAGGACATCAGGCTAAGTGAAGTTAGTCAGGATCAGAAACACAAGATACATGTTTTCTCACATATGTGGAAGATAGATCAAAAATAAATATATACACAAAAACAAGCATGATCATATACAAACTCAGTTGTAGAACATCTTTGCAACAGTGGAACTATTCTGTGGAGCTTGGGGAAAGAAAGAAAGAAAAAGAGAATGATAGAGCAACAGTAATATTCAATACCATAAGATGTGAGGGTAGAGGATATAAGGATATGAATTGGTTTCTTAAACAAAACCCTAAGTAGGACCCAGGTCAAGCACCACACCATGAAAGCCCTGGCCTCTGCACAGCACAGAGACACCCAACCCACTCAAGCCTCTGCCACAATTCCTTCCTAACTCTTCATTCTCCACCAGGCATTGACAGACATCTTTTAAAATAGACACCATGTTTTCTCCTACTTAAAACCCAAGTTGTTTCCCATCGAAGTTAAAATAAAATCTAATTTCTAAGAAATTAGAGGCCCTACCCAAGATGTCTCTGCCCTAACCTTTGATCTTGACTCTTAATTGTGCTGGTCACTAATTAACATTGAATTAGCCAAAGGAATGAAGGTGAGGAATGAAGCATTAGTATAAAAGTGAGAATAAAAAGAAGTGAATGGCTATAACCTGGACGCAAGACAAATGAGACTCAGTTATGGATTGAGTTGGGGAAAAGAAAAGAATGTTGATGCCTCATTCAGTTTTGGCTTGAGCAGTAGAGGGACAGTGAACGGCTCACTGAAATAAGGACTGCGATAAGAATTCAAGAATTCTAGGGCAGGAGGTGTAGCTTGATGGTAGAGCACTTGCCTAGCATGTTTGAAGCACTGGGCTTGACTTGTAGCACTGGAAAAATCTATTCTGCTTTGGTATTTTAGATTTAGGTTAAATCTAGGTTAGACAACATAATGGAGATAATTAAGCTGACAGTAGTTTATAGAAGTTCAGAGTTAAGTCAAGCCCTGAGCATGAATTTCAGTGATGCCTGAAACTAAATAAGAGTGTACTTATTTAGAAGGAGGGAGAATATATGGCAAGAGAAAATGATCCAGGCTGAGGTCACCACACTGCAGGTAACAGACATTCTGAAGAGGAAACTGGAAACAAGGATTCAGGGGAAGGTGGTGCCATAGAAATTAGGAAAAGAAAGTGTTTCATACAGGCAAAATGGTCCTCTGTGTACAGTCCTGCAAAGAGGTCAAGAGCAAGAAAACAGACATCTGAGCATGGCATTCGATACTGTGGAAGTCACCAATGGCCACATCAAGAGAGGTTTCTCTGAGGGAGCAGAAAAGCACCGTCCTATAGGGTTAATGAGAGGTGTGAGAGTAAGGAAGGACTTTTTCTTCCAGGTAGTCTGCCATTAAAAGAATGAAGGAAATGTGAGACTTCTGGTTAAGAACACGGTAGCAGCCGAGGTGTTTTATGTTTTTAAGTTGGGAGACATTTTGTAAATTGATAGCTAATCAAGAAGAAAAGGGGAAAATGCATACATGTGTGCACACACATACCATGTGTGTGTGTGTATGTCTGTATGAGAGAGAGAGAGAAAGGAGAGGGAAAGGGGGGGGCAAGAGAGAGAGAAAGGAAAGAAAGAGGGAGAGAGAGGTGGAGAACTGGACAAGAAAAAAATGAACTCAAAGTTCAAGCAGGATAACCAATTCAATGTAATTAGTAACTCAGTGGAGGTAAACTGAACTTAGAATACTAGAGAGGTGAGAGATTTTTTTGCCCAGTAGCTTATTTATTTTCTCAGTAAATATGTATGGAACAACTTGGAGTGAGTTTGTCAAATTGTTTACAACCTCACATCTTGACCAAAACCCAAAATGAAACATAAAACTAATGACTATTGAAATTAAGGAACTTGCCACTTTAATAGCCTTTAAAACAACATTAGGCAAATCGAATATTTGGAGAGTGAAATACTTGGTCTTGCTGATTTAAGGAAAGATGATAATATGAGGTCTATAATTTATTTTTGAAATGTTTCATCACAGTGTGTTATAAATATCTGTGCTGGTCTAAGTTGCACAGTAGGAAAGGCAGTTGCTTGCTCTAATCAGAAATCCAAACTCCAGGGGTGCTCAGAAGCATTCATTCTGAAAGGCCAGATGTCAGGGTAGCTGCTGCAAGTGCTTCAATTATCCATATTTTCATCAACACTAGAGTTAGTTTAATGAATATCAGAAGTGGGCTTTCATTGGCAAAATTAGTGGCTTGCTAATCACCATAATGGATATAAGAAATTGACTGTCAATGGTTAAATTAATAGATTCAATTTACATGGAGTAGCTAAAATATTTCAATTTTGCATGCCAATGCTGAAACCTCCTCCCCATTTACACCCCAGATGTACCCCACTATTTATATGTATATCTTAAGGTCAAAATTCTGTATTGTTAGATCAGATGCCCTCACACTGATCCATCTGCTTAGTAGGAGGAGCTGTCATTCCGATACCATGAGGTTACAGGGTCCTAACTGTAATTATCACATGTGCCTGAGTAAATGTTTCATGCAATGTAGACACAGGAATATCTGAAAGGACAAGACTTGAACCTTCATAAAGCTTGCAGAGTTTTGGGAATTTGTCTGTGTCTCCATAGCGATGTCTATTTTGGTGAACTTCAGTATATGTGATGGAAACTGACTATAATTTATCTTCATTATAACATGGTTAACGATGCTGTGAAGGGATTAAAAAAAACCTTCATATAACTCATATGTGTCAGTGGCTTGCTTATGTTTTTTTTACCAGCACAAAGA